TTAAACCTGCAGCAATGTTAGCAAGGAATAACCATTCCTGCTACAAAATATTAACCTTTTCTTCCTTCTCCCAGAAAAGGACATGAATTTTTAGTTATCTGTCTGTGAAACATATTTGCATAAAATGCTAAACAGATGAAAACCTATCACTTGCTATAGGTGTTTATATTGGGATTACTCCCAAGTGTCTTCCTCCAACAGCTTCAGGGCTGTTGTACTACAGTTTCCATAGTTTCAGACTCTAGGATGGCTAAATAAAAATTAGTACTATAATATGCCATGGGAAAATAGAACAGAGGACAAAATAGTGGATTTCAGGCTTGTGGCACTTATACATGTGTACCTGAAGAATGATCATAAGGTCTTTTCTCACTACACAATTATAGTACTTTAACTGCCAGGTCATATTTCCTATGGAATCATGGTGTTTGTAGTTTGGTGAAGTAGCAGAGCATTCTGGCTGAGAATTCAAAATACTCTTTCCCAAACTCCAAATCCAAGGATTCCATAGGATAGAACCATGGAGTTAAAGTGGAATCATAGTTCTATATTTGTGCAGTGTGAAAGGGCCCATAGTCTATTGAATAGTAAATAAATGGTACACTGTGGGACAGCCTCCCTAACCTGGTGCCTTCAATATGTGTTCATAGGATCTCCAGCAACATGGCAAATGACTGTGTAGCTGGTAACTATGGGAGTTGTAGTCCAACAGATCTTGAGCGAACTCAGTCAGGGAAGATTGCTGTAGGAGATCTACCAAAAAAAAAAAAAAAAAAAAAGAGGCTTCATCAGCACAGGCTTCATGCTAATCCTTTGTATTTCTTCCAAAGAACTTGTACTCAATTTCCTTTTCACCTAATCCCAGCTCTGCAGGTTCTGAGTGGTTAATGCAGGATTGCTATTGAATGTAATGCTGAATTGCTTTTCTTAAATTATACTTTGTGATATATGCCATTGATTGCTTTACTACTGAATTGCTTATGACAGCATCTAATATATCAGTTTTATAAATCATTTGGTAGTCATTGATACTTATGTGGTTGGATAGGTTTTGGAAGAAAGAACATAGATCATTTTCTAAAAATGCAGCTGTGAGGATCTTGAATAACGATAACAGCCACATGTGTCCAGCTTCTTACATTCACTGGGGAGAGCAAAGGTCATTTTATGAGACAAAGTGAGAAAGCTTCATTAGCAGCAACAGCAGAATAGAAGATGTATGAAGCTCATACTTGGATGACAATCTAACAGTAAATTATCACTTTTAAGTCCCACTGAAATTAGGGGGAATTTCACAGGCACACACACACACAAGTGGTCACAGTCCAATGAATGGCCTGTTAGTGAGTAATGTAGAGTTGTATGTAATCAGGAACTCTGTTGTTGTTGTTGTTGTGTGCCTTCAAGTCATTTCAGACATATGGTGACCCTAAGGCAAACCTATTGCTTTTTTTGTTTTTGTTTTGGGTAATATTTGTTTAAAGAGGGGTTACTTTTGCCTTCCTGTGAGGCTGAGAAAATGTGACTTTGCCAAGGTCACCCAGTGGGTTTCTGTGGCTGAGTGGGAATTTGAACCTGGTCTCCCAAAGTCCTAGTCCAGTGCTCAAACCACTATATCACATTGGCTCTCATGAGGGCTCTGTATATTCAAAGGGTTTGGTGGTTATAATAACAATTGCCTCTGAAACTGACAGGCAGTATGAAGCCTCTGGTTTGGCTAGAGTATAAATAGCAGGAAGCTGGACTTGCATGGTTAGATACCTTCTGTCTGGTGCACTTCAGGTTCTGATCTCCAGCCTGGTTTTCATTGATTGTCCTCAGTGACAAGTCTGGATTTGCAGTTGGTGATATTCAGAATCATCAACAAAGGATCATTTTCTATGAAGACAAGGTTTTAGTACAATGCACTACATAGTTGAGAGACAGAAAAATGGGATCCCCTACTATCACTTACCAAAAAAGAATAGTGAGGTGTGAGGGAGGAAGTGAAGCCCAAGAATGAAAGCTGAGACATGACAAAGACCCAAACTATCTGTACTTAGGACAAGAGGATACTGTCAGAACAGAATTAGGAGAAACAAAATGATTCTCAATTGGCAAAGGGGTCAAACAAGGCTGCATTCTATAACCCTATTTCTTCAACTTGTATGCAGAAAATATCATAAGGAAAGCAAGTTTGGACTCAGAAGGAGTAAAGATAGGAAGAAAGAACATCAACAATCTTAGATATGCCAATGGCACCATATTACTAGTGGAAAACAGAACAGAAGTGGAACAATTACTGTTCCAAGAGGAAAGTGCAAAGGCAGGCTGAATGCTGAACACAAAGAAAACAAAAACAATGACTATGGGAGAAATAACATAAATTCAACCTAGAGAATGAGGAAGATGAAATGGTTAAGGAATTTGTGTACCTAGGATCAAACATTAATCAAAATGGTGACTGCAGTTAAGAAATAAGAAGACAACATGGGAAATGGCAGCCATGAAAGAGCTAGAAAAGATCCAAAAGAGTAAAGGTACACAACTGAGCACTAACATTAGAATTGTTCAGTCCTTTATATTGCCCATCACCATGTATAGATGCAAGAGCTGGATAATGAAGAAAACAGAAAGGAAGAAAATCACTGGAGATGTGATGCTGGAGAAGAGTGCTGAGGATACCATGGATTGCCAAAAAGACAGACAGATGGATCCTTGACCAGATCAAGCCTGAACTCTCCCTGGAAGCCAAGATGATGA